AAATTTATTCCCATTGGAATAAACCTAATCAAAAAATGTTCGAGTTCCACGAACTTTTGGGACAACCTAATACATCGGCTAGTACCCCCTAATCATTGCATAGATCGTATCGCATTCAATATACCGCTACGATAAGAACTGAAGTTGAATGGAAATAGAATGCGTGCCGCACCCCAAAAAACCATTAGCTAAGAGCGAAAGCTCAATCTTTTTTCAATTGCCTTCACTTGTTTGGGTAACTTTTCCCTGGACGGATATGAGTAACAGAAGTTTTCTAACCTTCGCGGTTTCTTTGACTATGCTTCAGAGCGAAATGCTCAATCATCTCCTGCTCCGTGCGAATGGTTTCAGTTGTGCTAAAGCACTCCATGCACACGAATTTGCTTTGTAACTGGTGGAAGCGATGCAATCGTACATCGCTGCTGGAGTTCAGCGGTCGTCCGCATCTCTGTAATAAATGAAATAAGAAATAAGTCATACCACTGAGTGAATGTGTTTGAATTTTTGTTCATATGTCTAAGGCGCCATAGTGCTACGGGGCTGCAGCCGCTCAGACACACGTCACCATCGGACAAAAACAACTCGTTACGTGTTAGCACATGTCATACAACGACGTTTTGTATTAATTGGTCTGGGAGGCGGTCTCAAGGTCCACATGACGTCGCGGGAGCGGCAATCGCAAACACCGCGCGCTTGCACGGAGCGCACGATAAACTCATCACATTTTTGAGTTGTATGGTTGTGTTCAGTTTTCAGTCACGCTCTTCAATTTGATAAGCCTGAATCGTTATGATGTCAGATTTAGTTTTATTCGCGTAACTAGAGTGATTACATAGCAATTATGGTGCAGAAAAATCTGGATTCTGCACCGAGTCAATTTAGCTTACCTGCCGGTCCCTAATCGTTTGACTAACACAATACTTTTTGGGCAACTTATTCTCAGAGACTGCATGTATTGACGTTTTGTTGACGTACGACGGACTGTCCTGTTGAAAAAATAGTAGCGCTATGCCACATTCACGATAATGAAATCATCGCGAGCGCGCGTCACTAGCAACCATACCGTATTTTCAGCCGTCGCGCGAGACGCCGCGTGGTCCTACCGTTATCCACATTTCTTTTTTTATACTGCAGAACAGTTCCTTTTTTTTATTTTTAATTAGTCTCTGTTTACGAATAGACAACTGCAGCCCTATAACCTGATAGCACCTATACTCGAAATCCCTGAGATCGGGTAGGCGTGGCTGCGTACTTGATTTTAAAATGGCGGCGGCCCAGGTTTTCGTGAGATATTGTCATTTTGGAGCAGTCGTAATCATGTCTACATCTACACAGAACAAGATAGCAGTTGCTCAAATTGAGTATCCCACGAGAAATACGTCCTATACTATACTATGCTCATTAGCCACGCCTACTCCGTCTCAGGGATAAGCAGTGTACCTGTACACAAAATTTGTAAAAAAAATGTTATACACGCACCTCATCACTGCATTTGACAAGGTCTTGAACGATCTTCAGCATCATTGCAATGGTGTTCGAGTTCTGGCACTTCTCCATACCCTACAACATTTTATGTGAATAAGGGCACAGCTCCCAAGAAATCAATCGAACTCACATCAAGTAGTTTGCTGAGGGCTTGGTTAAACTCTGCATTCAAAGCAGCATACTGCGCAAAATCCAGAATAGGCATATCGTTTCCGCATGAAGGAGACCTCACCAACGCACCAGTTGGGCTCATCGTCACCGTTCGAGGATTGAAATGTCGCAGACAGAGTCGAGGTTGATGGCATAAACGAAACTGGAAAAAAATTCCATAAAGCTATCCCTTAGCTCATATTTCGCCCACAGCGATAGCTTACTCCGTTCAGGATATCCTGTGCAATTGGATTCGCCAGATATCGGCAGATATTCATTGCCCACTGCTCCTTCAGCGTCGCCGGATTGACTGGCACAGCAACCATATAATCGACGTAAAAGCTTGTCGCTTTGCAAGGACCAGTAGGAGACAGCAGAATCGCATACCACACAACGCTGCACAACCGGCTGCTAGAGTAAAATTTCAGAGATAACACATTTTTTCGAACGCACTACTAGTTCATTTTCGGCACATCAGTTGATTGATATGAAAAACATACTGCAACATTAGTGGATGGAGCCGGTAAAACGGGTCGACTAGTAGATGGAGAAGGAGGCGGTGGTTGAGGGACAGCAATAGAGGCTGGATCAGGATATAACAATCTGTTGTGGTAGTTATCCAACAGAATTTGACTGTTAATCTGAGACGGCGCCATATTTAACAGCGGTCGTCCAGCAGAATCGAAACATTGGGCTGTATAGTGCCACCGGCAGAAACAGAACATAACGCGACGTCGTGCTGAGTTGTCTTGAAATGCAATAGTATTAAATAGAACGAGCAATGTGTCAGCATGCTTGAGGATGTCACGAACCCCGAATAAATGCATTCAAAGTACTGAATAGCGATTGTGCAGCACCAGGATGCACTTCTCTAAATTTGGTACATAGCGAATTGACGGCATCATAGGCGCGATCGGTTGGCTCACAGATCATGGCTACATTCCGAGTACGACATAAAAGACAGGCGACCTAAAATAGAGACGGAACATAAAGAGTAAAGGAATGAGAAGCCTCGAAATATATGCAGTAGGATAGTCGATAACACTGATACTATAGGGACTGGAACGAGTGGACCTAAACGTTATGCATTCCAGGCACAATCGTGAGTTTTAAACAAATTTGTTCGCGTTTCAAAACAATAATCGGCTTCATGTACCCTTTACTGCCCCCATCTTCTCAAATAAGGCCATTTTTTTCTTGCCGACTTTTTCTCCGACGGTAGATTCGGCTGAAAACGTGTTCCCTAGGGTAATTTGACCTCGCGAACACAAGTATCACATTCGCTTAGCCCGAAACCGCCTGGCGCCTGCGCCACAGGGGCCGCCAGCACATGGTTGCTTTGAAAACAGCGCGCGTAGCGCGGAATTCAGGCGGTTTCGTCCAAACGGATTCCGTATTCGTGTTTCGGAGGTTAAGCTACCTCTGGGTTCAAGTTCCCAACGGATTTGGTGAACCAGGGTATTTTAGCGGCCGCCCCTAGGGCGCAGCGGTTTTTGTCACGAGGTCAGCCTACAGGGAAAAACCACAGCAAAATCTGCCCTCAGGGAAAAAATCGTTAAAAAACTGGGCTGATTTCGAAAGAATGGGGAAGTAAAAATATATAGGACCCTATACTCTCTTACAGTTTACGAATTTCATCCACTCTTGAGCATTTGGATCTAAATATGAGTTCAGTGGTCTTCTGATTCACCGCTGAATAAAAAAGCGAAAGAAGCCGATGAAAACACAGGCCCATATATGGAGCCCCACACCCTTTGAAAATAACACCTGCACGGACCAAGGAACGGACAAATATGAGACAAATAACATGAACAGGGACAGGACGACAAACATGGTCCACAAGTAAACGAGCAAAAAGTCATTCACATATGCATGCATGAAGATCGCTGCCATCTCTTAGCCAAGATGGGGTAGGGCAACTTCAGGGCAGCTAGTGACCGCCGCAGCGCCTCGTAGCTCGCTGCCAAGCCGCGAATGTCATGCTACAGCGGACCGAGGTACTTGAGCAAGGAAGAGATGCTGCCCAGCAAGGAATCGCAGACTGTGTCGTTAAACAAGAGCGCAGTTTGAGCGTAAAATCCTTGCTCGAGTTCTGCCTGGTCAACCGAATGCACTGGACCTGCCTGGAGTTGGTTGATCACACTAAGGATTTCTCTAGCATAAAAGCCTATCTATGTTACTGAAGTGTGGTTACTGGTGGTGCGTTACTTCTCGAATACTGCAGCAGATTCAGCACTCGGGACAGTAGATCACAATGAGCGAAGATCTCATGCCTTGGTGATGCCATGCTCACTCTTTGAATATGCCTTTACAAGACAGGTTATAAGAGAGAGCCGGCAGCCAAGGCATGGGATCACCGCCCATTTTGACCTAGTATCCCGAACGCTAAACCTAATCAAGTGTTCTGAAAACCGAGTTGCGGCGTTGCGCGCAACAGAGCATTTTCTAGCTCGTTGAGTATTATACAGACACAGGCAGTTGGACAGTTAAAGAGATGAAGCACTGTAGCACTGCCACGTTGATTGGATTGGGTCGTGGGACGAAAGCTGTGTACGCCATCTTGCATGTAACACCTATTTAGCGGCATCTGGCACGACTCGGAAACCACGCTCCACACACAAGTTGCTAAGCAGTCCAATTATAATTCCTGTGCTATGACGATTCTGTATGAAGAGGGAATGTGTGGCGCATTGGAACAAGGAGTTATCAACGCCAAATGTCTCATCTTTTATGTGTTGGTGCTTGTGACAAATATAGTTTCGCTGCCTCTATCGTAAAAGGGGGATATATTGGAAAATACTTCAATAAGGACAGGCCTGTCGAATCAAAAACATTCTAGATGAATCATTCTATAAGAGCCGCTAAATAATAGGAAGTGGCGGAGCACTACTTTTACTGCATACTCTGTGCGGAGCAAAAAAATAAGATTTTTTTCCCACATTTTCCCGTCAAGGGTAGGGGAAGTGAAGCAGCAAAAATCTGCACTCGAAAAGTTTGTCTCGACGCTAACTACCTTCATCACCACCACGTGGGAACCTTTTGATGGTTCTCATGGTGGTGATGTACGGAGGAGATGGAGTGATCAATACTAAACAGGTGAAGCGCCTTCCACCCTGACAGTACAGCAGCACGCGTACTTTCCTTTGCTTGGGAGTTTCTGTAGAGCGCGTTCATAATTCATGATCAGGCGATCCAGTCAAGCGATCCGGCCGAGGACGCTCCATCGCCAAACGGTGACCCACCGCAAGGACACAATTTTAATTGGCACGGTAACGCGACTGGATCGCTCGATCCACTCAAATGATCCCATCGCACGATCGCGAAGTGAGAACGCCCTCTCAGAGCTTGAAAAGCACAGCACACATTTGGTTCTAGAGTTCAACTGTTTATTAGCACAAATGTTTATTAACCAACACCTAACCCACTTCTGCAAACCAAAAACTTTGGAAGTTTAAGACTTCTTTTCACTTGATACTGCTGATTTTCACCACAGTTTGGATGTGAATATGTAAATGCTGAGTTATACAACTCTTCTATATGACACCATGCCAGAACACGAAGCGCTGAAAATTCGCGTGTATAGATTTGGTTTTTCCTGTTCCCTTTTCAGGTTAACACTGTGCAGAAGGGTCTTCTGTATAATCCCCCGACTTCCCTTCTGGAGGTTTGAATTTTGCAGATGCTAGCACAATGATTAAAAAATAATTGTAAAAATCACTTGCGTCGAGCGTTTCAGCTTTTCTTGCCAAAAAAGGAGAGAAAAACCATCTGTTTTTTTGCAAAATAGTCGATGAGTCTACAGCTCATGAAAATTCTATGAGCCTCTTGCTATGGTGTTTCACTGGTAATTTGTGTTGATGTTTTCGATACGAAACCAACGAGTAACTTTCAAACCATTGGTATCCAACATTACAAGCGACCCGCAGTGCAAAAAAGTGGTTTGAAGCAACTTCAGTTGAAGTTTTCCTCACTCTTTTCTCTGCATTCCTAGAAGCGCACAAAAAAATGAAACCCACCTTTTTGGCCTTTGATCGACCCTCTTTAAGAACAAAAAAAAATCCGAAAAAGCAAACAGCACCCTTACGAACTCCCTTGACCGGCTTTGAATAAGCTCTTGGAGCTCTCTGTCAACTTCTACCTCTTCTATCAACACAAAAGGCTACCTGGTTTGTTACAAGTTGAGGTGGCACGTTGCCAGGTACTGGCTGACGTAAAGCTACTGGCATCTCACTTGCCGATCCTCCAGCATAAATCTTCAACAGACGTAGATTTGGAGTATTGCAATAAAATCAGGAACTGTGAAATTACAGCAGCTGCTAAATTACCTGTTGCGGTGCAGCTGGCATAGGTGGTGCAGGTAACGGCTCGTTTATTGAGTCACCAGCAACTCGACGACGATTTACTACTTCACAGGTAGAGATGGGAGTATTCTGCCTTCGCGGTTCGACGGGTGATTGGCCGAGAGGAGGAACCGCAGCCTCTACTGCTGGTGAACAAGAGGATCCTAAACGAGCAACTAGGTTACGATAAGCCAATAAAAGAACATTGAGGAAAATGTGCAGTGAATGCTCTTTGCTCCTTATGAATTCACCTACCTGGGTAAGGAGGAGGGAAACTGCGGTTCTTTTCTTTGAATTTGAATCGTTGCGTTAAATGATCAATCATATTATCGGCTCCCACATTCCTCATGAGAACTCCCTCTGGCAAATTCGCAGGCATTTCACCAGGATAATCCTTATTCGTCGCACAAAGATGAGAGTGCCAACGGTTCTGATTAACCTGAACAAAACGTGCCACTCTGGAGGAAATCGACGCCGACAAGAGGGCTGAATCGAGGAAAATGACAAATAACTAACTGATGGCTCCGAGCAAAAAAAAATTCAGGAGATGCACGTATACTGGAACAGTGACACTTACCAGGGCTGCACACCGAGATGGATCTTCAGGGCAGGTAGTAAATGAGTCTCCAAACGTGATAAACGAACGATGACTACAGAGAGTAGGCTTTGCATACCGACCCTTAACAGGAATTAAATACTTCCTGATTACTGTACCAGTACGGTGTGAAAGCACTGGTGACCCCAACTAACTTCTGCTTGTTTATGGCGTTTTTCATCATTTGGTTGGAAATACAGATCGGATGCGACTGCAAAGCCAAGAGAACGTTGAATTGTAATCTGAAAAACTTTCTAATAAACTCCAGTTCAAGCGAATACAGATACTAACAATGCAATTTCACTGCAGAAATTATATTTATATACCAAAAAGGCACGAACAGCCGTTTTGGTCTCTTCGTATGATTTTCTACTCAACCTACTTCTGGATAGATCTCTAGCTTATACAGAATCATGCTAGTCACCTTTTCCTGGACAACCTATTGAAGAGATACTGTGGGTGGAAAGGAGAAACAGACGACAGTTCGGCGAGAGAGAGTGCATGAATCATTGAGACGCACCGCTATACAATGATAGTGGAGCAGTATGACAAGGGGTGGAGATCATGAGAAGACGGGCGACCAATGAAAAACCCTTCTCCTGGGGCCAGGTGCCGCGGTTGAGAGCCGAAAAGGAAATCCCATTTTCTCGGCTCGAAAACCCTCGATAGGACCGCCACGGCTCTTCCCAACCTTTGTCGTTTCCGCCCCTTTCTTCATGCTCTCCGCCCTCGTCGTACTGCTCCACTATCGCTGTATAGTGGTGCGTCTTCATGATTCGTGCATTCTCTCGCCCTTCCATCGCTTGTTTCTCTTTTCCACGCATAGTATTCCTTTGTCACATTTTCTTATAATGCTTAGAATAGCACTCGCCTTGTATAGAGCGTTTTCGACGGTTTTTTGTGCATTTTTCTTCACTGTTATGTTATTTAACACCTTGAAACTCGTATTATAATATACTGTCAAATAACAGCGATCGTGGACTTTGTCTTTAAGTACGCCACGCCACCTCGCAATCTTACTAAACTCACCACAGAAATTCGAGGATTTGCGACCCGACTGCCGGAACATTCGCGGTAGACCGTATGAGAAAAGATACGGTCAAGATTAGCAGACGCCAAGAGACAGTTTTTACAGAATGCTATCAAAGGGATGGAGTGGTCTATATGAAGATGATACATTATGGCAGATTCCTGAAAAAAAAATAGCGGACACGTTAGGGAAATTTTTGATGGATTACTTAATATACAAGTAAATTAGATTACACTTAGATATATTCTGTTCGGTGTGCACTTCAAACAACGGTACGACAACTTCGACTCGTCATGCTTTTTGTGATGGTCACGTAAATTGGAGTCCGTCAAACAGATGCTGCTGCATTTTTCACAAGGGCTGCAATGAATCAATACAATTATCCTTTCAAAAAAAGAGAGGATCTAGTGGAGGCTTACAACGCAGGAGCTTTGACCATATGCTGAGCGCGATGTCGATGTGCCCGTTGCTGATCTTCAAACGCGACGGCACACTGTTGACACAGGTACATGAGACTTTCCGGCATAAGCGGAACACCGTAAATCTGAAGAAGAACTTGTATGATCAATGGAATGTCTTCCACTTCTCCTCAGTCTTCAGCTGCGGCAAGATTCCACATACAGTCTGGTCGGCTGCGGATGACTGGACGTGTCAGTGCGGCTGCGCCTGGCCAAGTAGTGTTTTACCAGTTGTTGAAATAGGTAAACGACATGGTGGAAAACGAGTCTGGCGCCGCACTAGTCGCAGTCGCACTGACACGCCCCATCATCCGCAGCGAGCCGGATTGCAACTATTCGAGCATTACCCAGTGCAAGCTTCCCCCATAAATCCTACAAGCAGCCTCAACGTGGCATGGGGGTGGTGGCTTCGGCCAGCGAACGCGGAGGGTGCCTCCTGAGGATAGAAGCATTGCAGAACTTCACTCAGGAGGTTCATTCAAATTCTGCACAATAATGATCAATGGATTTTTCAAGTATCCCGATCAGAGCTAGGTTGCCCACCGTAATGGGCCAAACTAGGACGTCCACCGTAATGGACACACAAGCTAGGAAAGGACAAGCGCGAGACCATCAGGATCGCCACACTTAACATCGGCACCCTGACCGGCCGTTCTGCCGAACTGACGGACATGCTGACGGAAAGGAACATCGACATCTGCGCGCTTCAAGAAACGAAATGGGCTGGCGCTAAGACGAGAAGGATCGGAGGATTCAACTTGTACTATAACGGAGAGCGATCCAAAGTCAACGGTGTCGCCATTGCAGTGTCACAGAGGCTAGAGCATGCAGTTCAAGATGTACAACGGGTTTCCGACCGCATCATGAGAATTACTGTGATTTTCGGCAAAAGGGCCACCCATATTATGTGCATCTACGCTCCGCAAGGAAATTTGCCCACTGCCGACAAGGATAAGTTCTGGGAGCAGCTTGCCGACGTAGCATCCGCGCTTCCATTTGATGAAGACCTGTACATCATGGGTGATTTCAATGGACACATAGGCGCAAGCAACTACCAGTTCGAAGACACAAGGACGATTCGCCTACGGCACAAGGAATGATGATGGCATACGCATATTGGAGTTCGCCAAGTCACTTGATCTGATCATAATCAATTCCTTCTTCCAGAAGAGAGAATCCCACCTGGTCACGTGCTATAGTGGGGGACGTAAGACCCAGATCGACTACATTTTGACACGGAGGAGCCAACGAAGCAACGTGCTAGACTGCAAGGTGATCCCATCGGTAACGGTCAACAGTCAACATCGTCCAGTCATTGCGACCATTAAGATGCCGGCCAACTCATCTGCCTTCAAGCAGCCGAGAATCATCAGAAGGCTTTTGAGGTGGAACAGGATTGCTACGCTGAAACCAACTGTCAAGGACCACTTATCGATGAAGATCCATCAGGCCACGTCCGAAGACGTTGAGAATGACTGGAAAAGACTTGTCGGTGAAATCCGAGATACTGCGCGGCCCATTGGCTATAAGAAAGGATTTAAGCGTGCACCGGACCGACGGGCCTGGTTTTGGAACGAAGATGTCTCAGCCGCGGTCAAGGCAAAGAAAGACGCGTACAAAGCTTGGTACCTCAACCCTACGGAAGAGACCAGAATGAGGTACCGCGAAGCCAAGCGAGAAACCAAACGGACAATTGCTAGTGCCATTAAGAGCAAGGCAGAAGCTCTTATCGACGATCTGGATACCCTCCAGAGCAACACAAGATTTCACGAACACCACGACGTTCATTAAATCTGGCAATGGAGTGCTTCCTGTATGACTTTGAGAAAATCAGGAAGCGCTGGCAAGATTACTTCCAGGAAATCTGCAACGTCGAGTATCCGCATCCGGCGCTTCCAAATGAACAACCGACCCAAGGGCCCATCCCACGTATCACCGAGCTGCCATCAAGAAGATGAAGAACAGGAAGGCTACTGGTCCAGATGACATTCCCGTGAAGTATGGAAGCACTTCGGAGGTCGCTCCTATCTAACGCAGCTTTTCAACAAATGCCTGGAAGATGGAGTGATCCCGACGGACTGGTCAAAGAGTGTCACCGTGCCAATATATAAAAAGAAGGGAGATATCGCTAACTGCAGCAACTACCGACCGATTCGCCTAATGTGCCACACTTTGAAAGTTTTTGAACGTGTGCTGGACGCCAGGCTGAGGGAAATAGTTAACATCAGTCGGATGCAGTGCGGATTTCGACCTGAACACGGGACCACAGACGCCATCCACGTTGTTCGCCGTCTGATGGAAAAGGCTAGAGAATGGAACAAGCCACTTCATTTGGCTTTTCTGGATCTGGAGAAAGCCTTCGACAGAGTGCCGCGTCAACTCATTTGGGAAGCTCTTCGGTATCATCAAGTTCCGGAGACACTTCACAATTCCGGGTGGCTGTCGGTGTTCACCAGGATCGGCTCTTTCGCCACTGTTGTTCATTCTATGTATGGACTACGCTACGAGGAACATCAGGAAAGAGCCGCCTTTGACGCTGGGATATGCTGACGATGTACTGCTGATGGACAGATCCAAAGGGAAACAGTAGCGATGCAGTGCGGATTTCGACCTGAACACGGACCACAGACGCCATCCACGTTGTTCGCCGTCTGATGGAAAAGGCTAGAGAATGGAACAAGCCACTTCATTTGGCTTTTCTGGATCTGGAGAAAGCCTTCGACAGAGTGCCGCGTCAACTCATTTGGGAAGCTCTTCGGTATCATCAAGTTCCGGAGACACTTCACAATTCCGGGTGGCTGTCGGTGTTCACCAGGATCGGCTCTTTCGCCACTGTTGTTCATTCTATGTATGGACTACGCTACGAGGAACATCAGGAAAGAGCCGCCTTTGACGCTGGGATATGCTGACGATGTACTGCTGATGGACAGATCCAAAGGGAAATTAGAACGGCGCGTCAACCGCTGGAAGAGAGCTTGCCAGCCATGGACTCAGGCTTAATATAAGCAAGACGGAATATATGTGCACCACCGCAACAACATCGTCAATCGTAGTCGATGGAACACCACTCTCAGAGCAACGACGTTTCCGTATCTCGGATCTACGCTTGCCGCGGACGGAGATGCCAAGGCCGACACCACTGCAAGAATCAACGCTGCATGGAGCAAATGGAGATCTGTTACTGGCGTGATAGGAGAATACCAATACGCCTGAAGTCAAAGATCTACACTTCAGTCGTGAAGCCAGTCGCCATCTATGGAGCCGAGACTAAACAGATGACGGCCGAGGAAACAAGAGCCTACGGTGTTATGGAGATGAGAATGTTACGATGGAGTCTGGGACACACGCGACTCGACCGAATCCGCAACGAAACAGTCCGAGACAGGATGAAGGTCTAACCGATTGCCAACTCCCTTGCCGCAGGTATGGTCACGCTCAACGGAGACCTCCTGATGCTGTATCGAAGTCCGCTGATAAGGTCGTCTTCACCGGTAAACGTCCAAAAGGCCGACCTAGAATGCGGTGGAAAGACAACCTGAATATGGACATGACCGCTGCTGGCCTGTCCGCAGCCGATTCTATTTACAGGGACCGTTGGAAAGCGTTGGTCGAAGAAGCCCGACAACAGCTGGACAAGAACGCTAAGAAGAAGAAGACCCAGTGCAAGCTTGAAATCTAACACTTGACATGAAAGAGCATACCACAGTGTGGCATATGACACTATTCTGACAAAGACACGAGGAAATCAACGATTGCGACATAATACCTTGCTGCACCATTTTTTTTAATTTACCACAAGTGCTATGGCATGAGAATTTGTGCGCAACTCAAAGATACAACGCACGCTCAGCGGTGCTTCGTTGGCATCTGTCCGGGGCTGATGGGCCCCCAGCTGTCGAAGCGTAGCGGTTTCCCCGTCCGAACATGCGCGGGGATGGGGATCCAGGACCGTGGGATAGGCTAATTCCTCCATACTCCGCCTAAAATGCAACTTGCTGCGCACACGCGTTGCACGCCACCACAATATCCCGATCCCATCTATACTTGACGGGCCATCCGCGCGGCGCTCCTGGCATTTTGCCAAGTCTTGTAGTTTGCGCTTCCGAATACGATTAAAACGCAAGCAGCTGTTGCAGTGACATGCTGCTCATGCTGCAACGTCTGAATCAGATGATCACTAAGGCTGGAGTTGAAGAGCAACCAATACAAACGTAAAAATGTAAATTGAAAATGTAAATAAAAAATGTAAACAAGAAACGAACTAAATGTAAATTGATCTAAAAACCTGTGCAAATTTTTGCAATTTGGTGCGATTCCGACTTAAAAGCAATAACAATACTTTGAATTAACGGGTAGGACGATGAGATGTGATGGGGAGACGCGGCTTTCGAGGGAGATTGCAGAAGCAGTATGGTCATCTTAAACTCTAGCCCTCGTCATCATCTAATTCAGAGTTTGCAGCATGAGCACGCCTTAGTTATCAGCAGCATCAGAAGTTTGCATTCTAATCGTATCCGAAAGCGCAAACTACGAGTGGAAAATGCCAAGAGCGTCGCGCAGACGGCCGACCAAGTATAGATGGAATCGGGATAAGGTAGCGGCGTGCAGCATGTCTGCGCCGCAAGTTGCATTTTATGCGGAGTATGGAGGAATCATCGTGTCCTGGTCCCCATCGCCGCGCATGTTGGGACGGGGAAACCGTTACACTCCCACGGCTGATTGCCCCTTAGCCCTGGACATGCGAAGACGCACCTCGCAGATGAGCGTCCGCTATGTCTTTAAAGAGAAGGGACATCGATGTAAATGAACCAATCCCAAGTGAATGAGTGGCGCAACTCCAAAAGAGATCGTTCATCATCTTTCAATCCACTCTTCGTTCATTCACAACCGCCTTGTTTTCAATAGTACTTGTGTGAAATCGCCAGTCACCAAATGGGTGATCTGTATCACACCTTTGTGACAATGATTGTGTGATAAGCAGGCTGGTCGTAGGTTTCAAGAAAAGTGAAACGAAGGTACCTCATCACAGATGTCGGATATTATGTCGTTTCGATGAGAAGTCTGCTCATGGTACTGACAGGTTGATTGTCGGAGGAACATTTCACTACACATGGAGCACTTGAATTTCTTCTCTCGCTGGTTAGTAACCGATTGAGACGTGATGCCAGTTGGCCTGAAGCTTACTCTGTACACTCGTAAAACTCAGCGACATTACGCTAGACGCTTCTTCTTGCAAAGGCAAGCAGTTCTACTTGAGAAATTAAATCCTTACAATTCAAGCACGTCGAGCATCATGCAATCATCGTCTCCTTCATTGACGTAATGCACCACCGGGGAAGCAGTCGAGGATGATGACATCCGCCCTTGCAAGTGTTGTGATTGCGAAAACATAAACACGATTAGGGGATTTATAATTTTGTAACAACTACTGCACACTATACCTCCTCCATTGCATCAACAATGACAATTTCGTCGTCACTATCATCGGCAACGGAACTTTTAGGAACAGCACTTGGCTCTTCCTCCTTTTCTTCTCGCACCGAAGCCGTTCCTATACAATGGTTAAATAGGCTACAGAATTAAATAGGCTAGAAAAACGGTAAAACAGTAATGGTGAGTGGTGCTATGCTTACCATTTTCTATGACAATGACAGAAGGTGGAGGTCCCAAATCATCTATTAGATTAGCAAGAACTTGGCGTTGCTTCTCTAGCAATGAAGGGGAATTCCCATCTCGAGAGTTGCTACTTTCACTTTGATGTAAATCGTCTCTGTAAAAGAAAAAGGTGACTATTCTCTCACTCACCCCACACTACACTATGATGAAAAAAAGACAATCCTCACCCGTCCCAAGCACTGTGCTCCGTCATTTCTTCTTCACCACTCACTTCTTCTGAAGGGGCTGGCAACTGTGAACTTGAGCTTGATTCTTTTGCCTCAGTATTATCCGGTTGATCTTAAAAATAACTTATCATTCAAATCATTTTTTACCAGTTCCTGTTATTGGTACATGCAGTGAGCAATGCATAGCATCGCTGTGAAGGCGGTCTACGGACAACTTGAACTCAATCTCTTTGAACGCGTCGATCTTCTCTTTTTCTCTGCACTCCTCGTCCGCATGGCACTCTATGGCCGTTGTGACTTCGCTCACTCCAGCTTTTCACCGACTATAAGTAGCTCACCCACCCCTCCCCTTGAAAAATCCCGTTTCCTGGCTCGCCATACGTTTTTTGCACGTTTCGATGCTTTGGCAGCCGCTGCCCTCTATCCGTCTGCGTCACAGGGTTTCGTTACACTACCTTGCCCAAAAGTTCAAGATGTCACGTAACCCGAACCACACCAAGCATTGTGAGGAGGGGTAGGGTTGGGGTCGTATCTGGCCGCTGGAGGGCGGGGCACGTACTCGAATTTTTTATGGTCAAGTTTATCTGTCCACCCATGACAAAGTAATGCCGCACTTTACTATTACTGATAGCTAACCGGATATCTTTCTCTACAACCTTTATCTCTCGAGTAGACGGGGAGGAGTCGTAAGGAGTGAAACCCTTTCACGTCTACGTGAATTTCCCTGTTCAAGGGCTGCCCCAAGGGAGGAGGTGGTGTATTGTCAAGTGGCACGCTCATCACGCGGTCCGGGGGTCAAATCCCTCGACTCCTGCCCAAGCCAACCAAACCTTCTACCAGCCGGGGACGGTAAACTGATCACATTCTTCTGGGAGTATTAGAACACTGAATTGTACATCGTGCCCCCCCCACAACTCATTGTATAGGCCCGAGTTTGCGTCATTTTTTCTGCGCTGTGGACCACCTAAAAGGTGAAGTGCTCATTGTCCACCACTGTCTTTAGATACCATGCCTTTTACTTCGATTCAGAATAGTAGAGGGTATAATTCAGATGGAGTTTTCTGAGAATTTTCGCTTTCCTTGCCCAAAAGTGGTTACACGATTAACGCCATGCCCAGGATTTGGCAAAGCTTGCCATCGACTAAATCTGTTGTAAGTAATATGATTACCTTGTACCGTGGCACCTGGAGATGATTTATTTCGTTTCTTCGATTGAAGAGGGAACTGAGGATACTCGATCGACTAAAACAAGTCAGTCCACACTCCTGATATCATAAGCCATATATAGAGAAAGAAAACTAACATTGTTGAGCAAGCCCATTTCTGAGCAGCTATGGAGACATGGCTTAGGAGTCCACATTTCGCTTTCTTCTTTCAGATGGCTTCGAGCGTGTTCCGTGAGAGCTTCAAGTGGCTCATTTTTACAGGGAAAGCAGTAGAGATTCTTTGTATGCTTTTTCTGTAATACCAACACCAGCAGAAATGGAAAAGAAGAACTAAACGATACGACAAAGTCCTTAACCTACAATGAAATGGAGTACACCGTCCTTCATAGCCTTAGCTTGCCCGATTTGTGCAGCGCTAAACTTAGCATCACAGCACGTACAATTAACTACTGGAACAGATTTGCTTCGGCATATGTGCTCCTTGAAAGCAGTAATGGTCGCATATCCACGGCGGCATTCACAGAGAAACCTAGAACATTCATACAATCAACAAGAAAATAGTGAAACATTCTCAGGTCAAGCAGCTTAAACACCCGGGTTAGACACCTACGAAGGAAATGTAGGCACAAACGTCAGCTCCAAATCCTTCTTTGCATGGCCAACACATGCCTTGATGCAGAAGCCGAGTTGCCAGTTTTTTTAATACAACTGGGCCACTCGACTCTTGTAGTAAGCCGAGATACAGCGTCGCAAGGCAAGACCTAATGGGACCTGCTCCATCCCCCCTCCTTGATTCCTTTGCAGGAGATTATCTCGTAGAAGCGATTCTTTTTGAACGAGTTAGACGAACGCAATCAAAGGTCGAAATTGTGGCATATACGAAAAATAACGTCATATTAATGGTTCAGATTTATTTTTGAAGGCATGAGAAAAGGTGGAAAAAATTCAGATGGAAAAGTACCTCTCTGAAACCTTTTTGTGAGCCTTTTTATGATTAACACGATCATTTCTTCGGACGAGTTTGTCACCACATAGGGGACATGGTGCCATGTAACAGTCCGAAACCAAATGGGCCATGAAACTGCTACTTCGCACTTGAAAGTTGCAAAAAACACATACAACATATGGAATGCCATCCTGAAAGATACAAAATTTTGGGACTGATAAAGGTCGAAGGTAATTTTTTGATAGAATGGTAAACTTCAGTCTTACTATTACACCGATAACAATGTACACATGGAAACGACAAACCTGTTTCGGTGACTCTGCAGGAAGGGTATGGTTTGCTTTTACGTGTTCCAGTAGTTGCTCCGGTTTTTCCAAACCGCCAAGTGCAGGTTCACAGAGATAGCATAACGAGGGGAACTCACTGTAAAGTGAACCAAATTTGCAATGGTTGTGTTCTTGTTCTTCTATGGTGGTTCTTTTATGTTCGCCTATCCTTCTTCTTTCTATTCTTTGTTGTATTTAAACAGAACAGTACTATTGCGGGATGTGCCTTTCGAAGCTTGCCCGCGATTCAAAAGGGCGGGTAATGAGACTCACATACTGATGGCAAGGTGCTAACCAGCTCAACAGTGGAAAAAAGGGAAGACTTACCGAACTGAGGGAAAACTTTCCGAACTGTGTGTATAGGATCCCATGCCTAACCGCTTATACCAGCGTACAGCGAAAATGGGGCGTGTTTGGACGAGTTCTCACTTTCTGTGGTCATAGCGATATCGAACCCTCCAAAATGCCTGGATAGGAGCCCATGCATGACAGAGCCTGTACGAGTGTAAAGCCAAAGAGGGCGTATTTGGACTTGTTCTCAAACGTTGATAATGCGATATCCTTTTTCCTTAAAGGCTGAGCCCGCATTCAAATTTGATGAGTTATGCGGCTCAAATACTTATAACAAGGTAGCAAGTAACCCCTTAGTGAAGAAAAATCAGAAAGAAATCATAGGAAAGGCTCTATATAGAACCCCTTGCTTAATTGAGGTTGTACGTGCTCAAGGCGAAGAGAAGGTGCGGTCGCACGAGTTCTCACTTGTTGATATCAGCTGTTTTCCCTTATCACCTCACTCTCACCACTGACGTGGAGAGAAGCAGCAGCGAAACAACCGCACCATCAGATAACCATTAGGAATGAATGGAGGGCGGTGCCAATGATTGTAGGTTGGGCCAATGAGAAGAACGACGGCATCGTGGGCCTCCTCACTCGTTTTTGCGCCGCGAAAGTGGTGTAGTTGTTGCCTCTGCGGACCTGACTACCTGCTCACGAAGGGAGAGGAAAATCTCAACTGAACGCGGACGCTGCCTTTAACACCGCACCATACCGATAGGAACGGAGAGAGTTAGTAGCGGAAGAACCGCGCCATCAGGAACCTGTTAGAGTTGAGCGCTGGATATGGCACGGAGCAGTGGACAGGGCATTGCCTTCGTCACGACAAAGTGGTGTGGATCACGTGTTTCTGAGCCACAAAAGTGGTATACCCGCTGGCCTTCAAACTGTCTAATGCTGAGAGATTAGGTATATGAGGAAAATAACTTACGTATGCCATTTCAAATGCAGCTCCAGATCGGCATGAGAACGCATCGTGAGACAACAGAGTTCACATTGTAATTGTTCCTTTAAACATCAGATTTGATTTTTCCAACACGGAAAAATTCCAAAATTATCTGAACATTCTCGCAACCGAAGACGCTAAAGTGAGTCCGCAGTTGCAGTTGCGTGCCAGGTTCCCCCGTCAAAAGTGCGCAGGAATGGGGAAGGGGTAGCGATTTTCGCCCGTGCTGCCACACGCCTAACCATAGCTGAACGCGCTGTTTGCCTGAGCCCTCTCACTTCTGTTTGTTGTGAGCTGAAAAAGTGGCACTTCAGCTGCAGACTCGTTCACCTCGGCCATGAAAAGTACCGTTTTCGGAAAAGGGTGTGCTGCTCTCCGTTTAATGCATTCTCTACCCAGCATATTGCCAAATGCTTCTGTTTCCGGTGGAACCACCTTTTGAGAAGTTCGCACATACAATGGGCACTACATTATATTGTGGCAAGCCGATGCAAGGCTGAATAATTGCGCCGAGGAGCTCCTTTTTCGATGGCGCACATGAACGTCGTTGAAATGTCGTACCGATTCGTACCGATTCGTGAGTCGTGAGCAAAAGTTAGACCCCAGGTGGGACTCGAACGCATGTCCCGCTGACCGAGGGGGTATACTTATTACTGTAGAGTTACTATGAGCACAACAGAGGAAATTCCAGAGTCCCATGAGTAGACCTTGCCATAATGTCCCGAGTTACGTGACTGCTCGTTTACCCTCATTATAAAGAAAAAAGTAGAGAGAGCATCTGACCTTCAACACTTCTGTGGACGGTCTACCGGAGATAATAACGGATGTTCTAGCCGCATTGTTTTCAGCTGAAACGGAAACAGTAGTACGAATCGGGTGTACGAGAGATCGAGAACAAGCTTTAGCAGAAGTTCTGCATTGTTTCCCTTATCCAAGACACAGATCAAAACCAACCGAAGTCATTCGTGACTCCATTTTCGCTATTTGATACATTGGAATCTTTCTCCTGTGAGGATGATGCCACTTCTATAAAGAAAAGTCATTCAGAACACCGAACAAGAGAACATCTCTATCTATCACATGCTATCGCAGAAACAAAACTCACCATCATCACAAGTTACACTAGATGACTCCACAAGTCCATCGATTTCATCGATTAAGTCAGCCTCAGCCATAGAGACCATATCAGTTCTCATTGAGCGGGCATGACTTTCAGCCTGTGTTTTACGCCCAAGCTCTTCGGTTGGCTGCGCAGGTAACTCAACGGGCGTCTGTTGGACGCAGGTCGGCGAAATCTGACTTCCGCTCTCAATCACTTGAACAGATGGAGGCTCTGGGTATTCAATCATTTGTACTGAAGGTGGAGATGCATCAAGAATCACAACAGGAGGAGAATCCATGCAACGAGCAGATTGTTCCTTTTCTTTCGGCAAGCTAGAACCAATCTGGGAACACGATGGTGAGCTGCTCGTAGAAGAAGCAAATGAAGTCTGCAAATAAAAAGGTGTGCCTCTGAACTTGAACGAACTTTTCGAGAAAAACCTACATCAGCCGATTTTAGCTTGGCGAGGAGAGCTTCTTTCCTCTTCTCCTCAAGGTTGACAGGAAGGTTACCATCTTCCGTGAGACCGATGATGAGATTTATAGCGCGTGTTGTTGCAGTCAAAAATGCAGGTTTTCTCTTGGAGAAATCTGAAAATGAATGCCTAAGTTTAGCGAGAGACAGTAGTCATGTAATTAGGTGGTAACATGCCTGCGCTGTCTATTTCCTCCTCCACTTTCAGAAAAACACCGTGGTAAGCGGCCATATGAACTCGTAAGCCAAAAATTGAGCACAACGTTGTTGAGCACTCCAAACAACCTATACGGCTATTCGGTACTCCGTTACCGGCAAACACACAGAACACCTGAAATTACGACTGCAGTGCTGAAATTCCGACGTTCCATAGTTTACAGTGGAAAATCAAAGCCACCCAGTTGGCATTCACAAAAATTTCTACCACTTGACCTGCTGCTCCGAATATCTACTCTGGTGGTATCGATGGAACAGTCGCCAGGCCCTAGCGCGGACACGCCGTCTTACGACTGGTGTAGGTCTTTCGTTTCACATTTCAGCCACCAAAAAATGGAGGAGAACTTCCCAAAAAGTTGATTTGACTCGCTGACAAGCAGTAAAACTGTCACGCCGTTTCAATTAGCTTCTCGTTCTGAATTCCGTACATGTAAATCCACTCCCTGCTGATTTGGCTAGGTCACCGCAACATGCAGCAAGTGGCTCGCAGCCGCTGCGCACCTCTGTATACGGAAGAAGAAAATGCGTTATAAGGTCCCGTCACACAGTGCGCATAACCATAGTTATTTGCTGTTTGTGGATGTTTTGCACTTACTGAAGCACTTATTCAACAGCCAAACGGCTTCATAAAAAAAAACTCACTGGTAGAGCGCACGGATGTTTGTAGGATGTCCTCGCAGCGACAGCGCGGCGAAAGGGTGCAAAGGAGGTGTGTGTCGGATAGCGTAACTGTCAACTGTCGCACTGCTGCTGGGACGCAGCTGACCGTAATTGCAAGCCTCTCTTAATCTTATTAGTTCACGTAATTGATCGGCCTACACTGGCAAGACGCCAGCAAAGACGCCGAGGTGCGCATTGATGGCATCTTGCCAGTGTGGGTCGTTCATTACGTGAATCAAATGAAGAGGGGCTTGTATGAGTTGTTCAAGACAAGGGCTATAGGGGCTCGATGGAGGTGCCAATTACGGTGCAGCGTCCTAGCAGCATATGACTGTTGACAGCTGCGCCAAACGACACTCCCATGCAAGCGTTGGGTGTGGATCTGTTTTCAGTCCTCGCATCCCAGTACGAGTTGACTTGGGAGATAGAGTTATGCAACGCGCAACGCCGCTGCCGTATTGAGAGGGGGGGGGGTCCTGATGCGGATGCTGCATACATCAGCCCACTAACAACGCATATTTCGTCACCACTAAGAGGTACACCTCCACACCCACAAATTTAAACGCTTTAACAAAACACAACAAGGGTGAAGGTCCCTAAACCTCGGTTAAGCAACATGAGGACACGAATGGGAGGCGGGGAGGCCAGAACCATTCGAAGGTGAGTGGTCCACACACTGGACATGGAATGAGGCGAGCAACCACATTCAGTCAAAGGGGAATATTTCGGAAAGAGCAGGTTTGTTCTTATGGAAATAATAAAGGATAAAGTATTAGCCGTCAATCAATCCCTTTGTGGGACGCGGCATGCATTCTATTAGGTTGGCGGGAAAGTTCTGTCACTCTTTTCCGAACTCAAATTACTTGCCCATTACCAAGAGGGGTAACCGGTAATGTAAGCTCTTATACAACAAGGAGTGGTCTCTCTGTTAGTACCACTCGCTTGCCTCTTGCTCCTTCTTCTGCAATATGCACAAGGATTTTATCCGCTACCATCAGCACCGACCCCAAACGCTTCCTCAAACTCTTTCTCCCAGCACCCTGACGCCAGCGTGTTAGCTGCAGATGCCAAAATAATGGAGCTGAATGAGCACGATGCCCTCTGGCAGTCATCGGGCCAGGGAGGCCTAGCAGTTTTTGATGACCGAGTGAGGTTTGGGTTACCTTGCAAGCTTCTAGCTATTGGGAAGGAGTTGTGGGTTGGGAAATTCTGCTGATTGAAGAAAGCTGTTCCTCGGGTCATCGTTCGTAGAAAAGTAGTACATGATCAAGCGTACGTCGGTCAGAGAAAAAATTGTCCGCACAGCCGGCCCTCGCCAAGATAGTGCAACGCACTCGGTCCAAAAAAGTTCGAGCCGTACCTCATGCAATTGAGCTTGATTTCTCTCCCCTTGCACTGGTGTAGCTGCAGAACCAATCGCCCCTTCATAAATAGCAAGTTGCTGCCGTAATCGATCGTTATTGCGTAGAAAATCTCCATAAGCTACAGTGTCGTCCAACATCTTGCCGTCGTGCTGCGCTGCATTGTGTAAGGCGATGGGATCGCATGAGGTGCTCGAGAAACTGGCAAGGACGCCGCAGATCGATCATTGCTGCACAATTTGTGACTCTCACACTCTCTCCCTCTACTGCCAGAGCTTCCGCGCAACCTAATACTTCCATTCAGGAAGTCGTAGTGGCTTACTGGATGGTGTAGCCCTTACATAATTGGCGGGGGCCAGGAGTGTTTGAGATCAGTGGTTTCAATTTCTTCCCAGCGACGAATTCAAGAAAATATAATAGCTGCTTTTTTTTCCTGGCAGGGAAAGGAATAAGAAGATTGAAGCCGTTGCTAGCTGAAGTCTAGTCAGCGTTTCCTTAATCTTCCCAGACGACTCTGTGGACCAATTAAACAGTCCTAGAGAGCGAAGGCTTTCGTTGGCTTTGCGGCAGTCGACAGGATATTTGGACACAAGATCGCGTCCGAGTGGTAAGCACGCCACTTGCACTACATTCACCTCAGCTTTTATATGGAACCAGTCTGATCGCCCGGCTATCGGCCGGGCGCCTCGCTCCTTCATGTGACTATGGCCGGCTTTCGCCGGCCATGCGGATTTGCCGCGTGCTAAGTTAAGGATCGTTGACCAACCACACTGTTCAAAGGAATCTTCTGCATCAGCCAAGAACTGAAAAGCAGCGCTTGTTCCGTCAAGGTGCAGAAGCAGCAGCAGCGCCCCCCCCCCCGCATCACAGAAGGAGGAAGCCGGGCCTTAGCCAGCGATCCCGACGTACTGCACTTCATAACCTAGCATACGGAAATAGTGCAGGCCTGTTGTGGACAGCAGCCTGAAGCAGGCCAGTATTATGCAATCTGTCTTCCTAAATCGTCTTACTTTGGAATGCACTACCGCATTCAGCAGTGGAACCCTAAATGACCCTCACTGAAGTTGCTGATGGAAGATAATTGTGGTAGGAGTGATAAAGTCACTTGCTGCTGTTCATAACATCTCTGTAAACAAACCACATGCATTCGGAATAGAGCTGGCTTAGCGGTCGTGCACGATGTCGTTACTAATAAGCAGTGAGGAATGAGTTCTGTTGGAATCATTGAGATCGTTATACTTGAGTCTATATCTTACTCGAGCTGTTGTTGTGAGAGCTGTGAGGAATTTTTCCCATGTTCCCTAACACTTTCAGCTCCTATCACTTCCGTACCCGCCAATAACACTCCCGTCCCGTATCACTGTCATATCACCCTGTATCGCCTCTCGGATCCGAGGTCCCACTGTTGCTGTAACCTGCGTTACGAATCTGATGACGGGCTCTGGCCTTCGTAGGCCGCTTCCGGTATCTTATAACTGTTTTCAGCTCTCTGCCAGCCCCACTCCTACGGCATAGCTCAGTCTTGAAAATCCGGGTGGTCCGGCGTTGCTCGGCAACTTTGCCACGATAATTCGGTACCCTCCTTTGAAGAGCGCCTTCATTGACTCTCTATCAAGTGTATCACCTCTGCCACGCAGCCACAAAACTGTTCCCGTGGTCCTGGCATGTCATCACTCCTTGAAATCTCGGTCACACACCTTGCTGAACTTGCGCTAAGCCGATTCAGCACCTCACATCTTTCTACGCTTATCGTAACTACTTAGTGAAGTGTTATCACCATCCTGGACACCCACACAAGAAGTGTTGTCCGTCTGCTGTATATCACTTTCTTGGAGCTGTCATCGACTAATCTATATTCTGCGACGGAGCTCGCGATGATTTCGGGTGACACAGTCACACACAATCACACACCAATGGCCGGCGTGAGGCACAGGCAGACACACCGCACAGCAGACACCATACGGATTATATATAGTAGGATGACCCCTCGATGACCTTAACTACTTTTTCCCGGCATAGAGTGCTCTGGAAGCGTTTTGCGAATTTTTTAAATTTGGCTTCCAGGCCCAAACCTTGGGGCAGGCTCCGCCCACAACAATACTCGGCTTCTGCATTATGACCCGGTGCGATGGCCTAAATATCATTTTCCCGGTGTCTAGAGGGCTCTGGAAGCGTTTTGCGAATTTTTTAAGTTTGGCTCCACCCACCTTGGGGCAGGCTCCGCCCACAACGAATGTCTCGCGCTTCTCAACCAATGACCCCTCGATGACCTTAAACTACTTTTTCCCGGTGTCTAGAGGGCTCTGGAAGCGTTTTGCGAATTTTTTAAGTTTGGCTCCACCCACCTTGGGCAGGCTCCGCCCACAACGAATGTCTCGCGCTTCTCAACCAATGACCCCTCGATGACCTTAAACTACTTTTTCCCGGTGTCTAGAGGGCTCTGGAAGCGTTTTGCGAATTTTTTAAGTTTGGCTCCACCCACCTTGGGGCAGGCTCCGCCCACAACGAATGTCTCGCGCTTCTCAACCAATGACCCCTCGATGACCTTAAACTACTTTTTCCCGGTGTCTAGAGTGGCTCTGGAAGCGTTTTGCGAATTTTTTAAGTTTGGCTCCAATCACCTTGGGCAACGGCTCCGCCCACAACGAATGTCTCGCGCTTCTCAACCAATGACCCCTCGATGACCTTAAACTACTTTTTCCCGGTGTCTAGAGGGCTCTGGAAGCGTTTTGCGAATTTTTTAAGTTTGGCTCCACCCACCTTGGGGCACGCTCCGCCCACAGCGGGAATGCCTCTCACATTCCTGCATGTGATCAGTTGGGGGCCATAATCCACTTTTTTTTTGCGCCATCTGTAGTGCTTTAGCACCAAATTACGGTTTTTTACAATGGTCCTCGGGTTTAAATGCACGCCCCGCCCACTGTGGGCGGGCCTTAGTACTTCGCAAACATGGTGGACTCTTGACAGATGTTCATCTTCTGTCATGGAGTTTTCGTTGCCGGCCTCTAAATGATGTTGGGAAGCAGAGTTACCCGTATCTTCTATGGAAAGACACCGCTCCAGATACTCAAGTACGCCCCGACCATTTCGGGTCTCTACTCTTCCATTCGAATGGGCAACCAGCTGCTAACCTA